TTCCCGAAATAGCCTTCTCATTCCTGAAGAGGACTCTCAACTAGCTTCGGACGATGAAGCCGCGGCAGTGGCCGCAGCAATTGGATACAAGCCATCCGCGGAAGCCAGCAAATTGCCACAGGTGGAAACCGCACCTGCCCCAGCCGCTGATAGCTCACCGGCACCAGACGATACACGGAGTCCGGGAGTTATCATGAAGAGTCCTGAACTGCAAAACCTAGATAGTCCTGAGATTAGCGATGTAAGCAGCAGTGATGAAGACGAACAAGGCGGTATATCCACAGGCACGACGCTTGTAGAATCGAGCGATACTCCTGATGAGACCAAAGTGGATTCTGCTAATGAGGCCAGCAAGGTTCGAGTCGATGAAGTAAAGCCGGAAAATGAAGACGCGATACCAAAGTTGAATGAATAGAAGGGTTTCAAGACGGCCCAGCATTGCCAGATCCAAAAAGGAGCGTACACGAGTTACGAAATCTGAATCACCAAGGACAATTGATTCAATCGAAGTCAAGAAGCAGAATGCCGCTTCTGCGGTGCCAGCCAGGGGATTGGCGTTGACGTCGGTGTCAACGGGATGGTTTCGAGATGCTGGCCAAGAATTTGCAGATTGCAAAAAATGGGTTTAGCGGGGCTACCATTGTTAGGAGTAGCAGTAGATTTTGTTTAGAATGCGTGAATACCTACAGGGTAATACTACCTCTCTCTGCATTCGTGACCCTTGGAGCTTCTACGAGTTTACTTTTCGCAGTTGAAAAGATTATCAACTAATCGAATGCGGGATATCAGCACCAAAAACTTTCCCCTAACCTCTTGGATAATAAATAACACTAGTATGGCAGGAATTAGGATCTATGTAGGGTGAGGTGGTCACGTCCTATACCACAGCGATCCGTTCAATCTATCAAGCTCGTGACAGCCAAGACCGTATGGATTCTTTATTGATCTTCTATTATTACTTTTGATGATTTAGGGGACCCCTGCGTTGATCAACACGGACCCTTTGCATGACGTTTGAAAAGCTGGTGGGGACCAGGCTTGGCAATGTGGCGTGCCTCCGCGCGTTCATTCAGGTACCAACCTGTCATCATTGCCTACCCTGGCACTGCCATGCTCCATCAATCCATCGAAACCTTCGTTCTGGCCGATTCAATGCCTGTGCTTGCGAGACACCACCTCGATAACGCAGTAGTAAACAACTAATACGATATTGACCATTTCGACATTCTCAGTCCTATGTTCTCTTCTGACGACGAGTGCGATGCATGCTCACCAGACTGGGTGAAGAAGCGTTCATCCGCCCTTGCGTTCTCCGCCCTTCCCTTTCTCCTCACCTTCATAATTGTCGCTGTTGCAGTGTCGCACAAGCTCTTTCCTCTACTCTCTGGTCATGCGCAACAGAAAGGATACCATGATCATGCTCAACTGCCGGGCTTTGCACTGCGCGAGCGACATTCGATCTTTAGACGGCCGCACATCACCTCGCAAATGCTCGCTAGCGTCACCTTTTCCACGAATATCGCTTTGTCCACGGTTCTAGCAGAGCTAATCCTGTGCGAAATCTCGAATACCGTAAACCCAGCAACACGCACCCTAGCTCTAAAAATCACCCTTCCGTCGCTCTTATTCCTCCTCCTCGTTGCGATACCCGCTCTAGAAATACATTCGGCGATATCTGGGGCAGGTTGGAGCTTCGATGGTGCACGTAATCGGTCGAGGAAAATGGCCTGGATGTTGGAAGGTGTGGGGCTTACAGTATGGTTGATAGGCTTCTGGTATCTTGGGAGGGGTCTTCTGGGTACATATCTGCATGAGGAGTCATATGTCCGCGATCACAGCTTAAGCGAGGGATGCTTGGAGAGAATCGGTATAATCGGCATTAGTTTAATGGCGTCTCTCGCAGGCTTCGCCGCGGTGAGCTCCTTATGGCAAACATTTGGTGCCAAGTACCGCAAGGTACGTCTAATTGGAAATAATTATGGCTTCAGTCTTGTAATCAAAGAAGCTGGACCAACCCTGACTTCCCTAGGTCACCGAATCGGACGTTGCTCGAAAGCAAGCGGGACTGGACGCTACAAATGACATGCTTGCGACGAAAGAGGCACGCTTACGGGCCGTGGAACGAAAACTATCCGATACACCGCAGGAAGGCTTCATGTCGCGTATCGTGGGTAGTCTTCGTGGCAACCCAGACATTCAAGAGCGAAACACCTTACAACTTGAGATTCAAGGACTAAAAACGATGCGTACCACACTTCAGAACTCCCTTTTATCTCTCGAAACACGCAGACAAGCTCAGATTCGCTCGACTACCGCGTATGGACGTCTTATCAACTTCTTCTCCTACCTCTTCTCCATCTACTGTTTGTACCGTATAGCCGCGACAACATTTACCACCCTCCGTCGGTTTACTTCCCCAAATACCAGCTTCTCAAACAGTGACCCTATCAACAACTTCCTTGCAATCCTAGCAAAGAATTGGGATCCTTCGCTAGACCGTGTGGCGTGGAGTCGTACTATTTCCTTCCTTTTATCCGGCGTTATGCTTCTCGCGTCATTTAGTAGCGTTCTCCAAACATTTCTTCTCTTCGCTCGATTTCTTCCAGGAATTCTTCATCAAGCCCGAGCGAACTTTGCTCTCCTCATCTCTCAAATATCTGCAACATACGTCATCAGCTCAGCTCTCCTCCTCCGAAGTAACCTCCCGACCGAAATGAAGAGCGCAATATCAGATGCATTAGGCGCACCGCTAGAACCAGCGTTTACAGAGCGATGGTTCGAAGGGTGGTTCCTTGCAGCAAGTGCTTTGACAGCACTGGGGCTTTGGGCCGGGAGGAGACTACGGGGACAGGGGTGGGATGATGATGACGATTTGGGTGATGCAGACGTGGAAATGGGCAAACTGAACTGAGGATACAGTGGCATCTTAATTGGCGTTTGATTGGATTCGTACGGCGTTTTAAAGCTAGCCATGCATATCACTAGCATCAAGAGCATCAAAAACAAATATATTGCTATTCCACCTGTATCTCCGGATACATTTTCGCAAATTGCATGTCTGTTTGCCAGTAGTGTTACAAATACTGAATGATAAGTCAATTAATCGGTGGGATCTAATAATCACATTATTAATGAGCACGATTGGTCAGCGGCAGAATTGAGAGTCTGGCGTGGCTTTCGAAGGGTTGACGTCGTTGTTGTGTATTGCTTTCCCGATCTGGATGCCAAGAATGTAGGGACAATGACGTCGGCGTGGGGCAAGTGTGCATCAAAAGCGCAGGATAGGGACGTTGAGGCGTTTTCCTCGAACTCCAGAAGTAAGCCAACGTATTGCACCAACTTCTCAAATCCTCAGTCCAACGTAAGTGCTGTTCAATGCAAGTATATAGCATGGCTAACGACCAACAGCGCTTGCGAAAACACAACTTCTAAACCGTACGTTCAACCACCATCACATCTGAAGCTCCCAACCCTTTCTCTCCTTACCCTCTAACTCTCCTTCTAGACTACATATTGAATCCGCCATGTCCGCACCAAACCCCGGCCGCCAGTCCCCAGATCCAGAGCGCCAATCCGGCGCCCAGCAATCCGATCCTCCAGCCTCTGAGCCCAACGAGCAGGGCGGTGCCCCCTCAGTGAGCCACGCCAAGGAGGCTTCGGACAACCAGAAGGCTAATCTTGCGTCTAACCCCACACATCCGCTTGAGAAGTTTGCGGAGGAGAAGACTAGTAAGAAATAAGTGACGAGGGTTTGGGGAAAGGGATGATGGGGAGTGCAATTGTATGAGGCTCTATAGGTTTTTTAAACGGTTTTTGATAGGGACGAGTATGAGGATTCAGGGATTGTGGACTCACCCTACTACTACTTCTACTACTCGATGAATGAAATGACGGTTTAACGCAATTTGCCGATGTCTGCTGCTCCGTGATGTTCATGTGAGATTTCGAGAAATTTCGTGCAAGAGATTGCTCGCAGCATTTTTGGAGATGCTGCATCGAGAAGTCACCAAATCATTAACAGCGAGTTGGGTATCAGAAATGAGTGTCGCATGATGGACGAAGGGTATCGTTTCTAATTGGCCAGATCGACATGTAGGTAATCTTTGACAGCCACGTGTAGACGCGAGCTTAAATAAAATCTCATTGTATTCCCACGTAGTTAGATTACTGTGCCGAATTGCTGTAATAAATTCATTTGTTTCTAGTTCCGGTGGTAGTTTGTTATGTGATGTCACCAACCTCGACGAAGTCTTGGCCGCTCAACTAGCAATCCACAATTTTGCGGCAATCGATGAAACGTGTTCAAACCACGGATTCTAAACCAAGCGTACAATACATGTACATTATCTATACGCTGCTTTTAGAGATAAATGTTTGCAGCTCAGTAAATATCTCCTGATCTAGCCGTTTCCGTCCAACGACCAAGCTTAAAAAAAATTGGAAGTAGAGAATGCCATCAGCAGTGTATTGGCTAGATGACTTCAGGTAATGCGGTATCCCGTAAGGGACCCAAGGTCCTAGGCTTGGAGGGTAATTCCCAAGGACCCGTTACATATATAAAGTGCATAAATTGCAAGCACTCGGGGGGAATAAAGGGGCAGCCGTTAAGCTGAGCCGTGCTAGGAGCGAACAGAATGACAAGGCATATTGAGGCGTAACAGGCACTGTTAGTAACTACTAGGGGGAGTTTCGCAAAATAGTTCCTAAAATAATGTTTCCCGTTTAAAGGAACGTGATTGTCTAGATTACGGCTAAGATCTTTAGCTTCTTGTTTCTCGCTTAAACGTATTTCGCTTACTCACCCCTGTGCCTCTGATGTGCTGCACCGGCCCACGCCTAATAACCCTCTACTCCCCGCACAAATTCTGGTCCGACTGATATCTCATAATTTTGGATTTCCTTACGTATGCGAGACCTTCCCCAGCTGTAAATCGCTACAGATGTTTTCTAAAATCCTTGATAATGTAAAAAATTGAAGCATAAATACGCAAAAATGCAATGGGCTTGTGGTTTAGGGGTATAATGTTCGCTTCGCATAAATAGTGTGAATTTGCGAAAGGTCCTGGGTTCGATTCCCAGCAAGTCCACTTTTTTGCTGCGTCTAGGTCCTCAAAGATTGAAGGCCGGCGGAAAGATAACGTTTTGCCGACACAGTAGTTCAGAATTCATAAATAGTCAAGGAATAATCGTTGTTTAGAGTATGGCATCATTGATTGGAGCTGGGGAAGTTATTTTTGCGTTTGAAGGGAGTCTTCGTATCATAATGTCTTTGACAAACAGGTACACGGCCACTATAAATCTAGGAGCGTATTCCGATACGGCAATAGGCTTTGATTGGGGTAGAAATGTGGTTAGAACTATTTGCCAGCGTCAGGACTTAATGTCGATACCTATGTAACGTGATATTTAGATCTTGGTCTGAGTACGATCGGCACTTTAGAGGTTTACAGGTATCAAACTTTAAAAAATTGTTATGGCAGCTAAGCAGCAACAAAACAAGAGACAATGAAAATATAGCAGTGCCTCTAATGTCATGCATATAAAGTATATATGCAGGCAATATTAAGTCTAGATTTTAATCGTGCGGCTGACCCTAATTAGATGGCTTATCTTCAACGTTCTCATCGTCTTTTTTTCCCCTCAAGCCAGCCTTGGTACCTGGTTTGGCCTCAGCCAATCACCTTTCAATTTCAAGTAATCGAAATCTATAATCGACTTTTATGATGATAGGGCGTTAAACTTACACGCTGAATTAGACGGAACTCAAAAGATAAAGCATTCAGCAGTGGCTGGGATATCCTATCACTTCAGATCTGAAGCAAGCACAAAATCGTAAAGCTCCAGCTCAATACCAGCGATGCTAATGACCGCTAGAGGCAAGGATATCTTTCATGCCAGAGATCTATATGGTACAAGAGGATCAAGACTGGGAATTCAGAACAGAAGGTGAGATGCATGCAGCACCTGAATGAAATTCATATCTAGGTAACAGAGCCATTCAAACAAAAAAAAAAAAAAAAAAAAACTCAATCATTACACCGTAACCATAGAATGCAATTACATAAAGCCATGACAATCTTCAAATGCATGTTATGAAGTCCCCATTACACTTTCCTCGAAGCGCCTAGCAATCTCTAACATCTCAGCATCCAACTTTGATCCGCTCAAGAAAGTAATGCTAAAGGGTAGTTCGCCCGTATCATTCTTGTTTCCACTTAATTCTGATACTGGATATGTACCAGCAGGTACTGCGGCAGCGCAGAGATCGAGAACATTACCGCAGTGCGTGAATTCGCCAAGGTAACTGTTCTTCTTGATTGGATCGGCTAGTACTTCCTCAATAGTCCAGTGCGTTGGCGCCGTTGGCACGACGAGGACATCGATACCAGTAGCGGAGTATGAAAATACTTGCTCGGCCTGCCGCGTGTACAATGCCTTAGCTTGGAGGTCTCGATACACTTGTACGGCGGTGCTTTGTCGAGCAACGACTGCATCCATGAGTTCGAGGATAACAGGATGTAACACTGATCTATTCTTCTCGAGAAAATTGTCAGGCAAAGAGGCAAGGCGCTCCGAGACGAAAGTTCCGTCGTAGAGAAGTTCGCCGGCCTTCTTAAACGGCGTCCAGTCAATGGGTGTCAGAACACCACCTAGTTTTTGGAGCTTGGAGATTGTTTCGTTGAACATGCGGCGTGCGGGGAAGGAGCAGACCGTTAACGCTTCCGGTGGGGGAATGCCGAATTTGAAAGTCTTAGCTTGTGGGCCAATGCTGTTGACATGCCGCTCAAATACGATAGCAGGCTTGGAGTACGGGTCCATTGGGTCGTAGCCCTCGAGCAGTTGCCAGAGCATTCGAGCATCAGAGACAGTATTGGTAGTCAGAGCAATGCAGTCAAGAGAAAGACAGGCAGGAGTCACTCCGCGGAATGAAATGGTGCCTCTTGTTGGCTTATAGCCTACAACACCGTTGAAGCCTGGCGGAACGCGACCTGAGCCCGCGGTATCAGTGGCAAGCGAGAAGGAGACCAGTTTCGCGCCAACACTAACAGCATTGCCGCTACTAGAACCACCACTAATGTAGTCTTTGTGATAGACAGAATGCGTGATTCCGTATGGACTGCGGCATCCTGTGAGCCCGGTAGCGAGCTGGTCGAGGTTCGTCTTGCCAATGAACAAAGCACCCTCGGCGATAACTTTGTCATAGACGACGGCCGATGTAGAGGGCACATGCGCGAGTGGTGGGCAAGCGGTAGTAGTAGGTAAGCCAGCAATATCTATGCTATCCTTGACACTAAAAGGGATACCGAACAGAGGAGGAAGAGCTTTGCGGTCCAGGTATTTTGCGTCAAGAGCTCTTGCTGCCTCTAGAACGTTTTCTTTCGTTTCGAGGTGGATCCAAACAGCTGGATCAACCTTTTGGTAGGTTTCGATCTTGTTGTAGATGGTTTCGACTAGGGTCACAGGTGAGAGCCCATCCTTGTAAGCTTTTTGTAGGCTTGATATGGTAAGGTCACCATCAAAGTCTCGCGGGGTTTGGGGTGGTGTGTCGGCGCCGGTGCTTGCGTTGTAAAGGGGTGTCAGCACGTCCAAGAGTGGCTGGAGAGTGGAAATGAAACCGAATAGTCCTTGAGACCAGTGGATCATATCGAGGCTGCATTTTTTGAAGTTCGCGTCATTGTAACCGCTCGTAGCTTCTTCGATCCCACCTATGTCAAGTCAGTCTAACATCCAGGTTATGAATAGGCCGCTCGGATAAAGCCTCAATTAAAGCAAGAGTGTGGATATTGTTCTAGATTGCTTTCTATTATCTGCCAGCACACAAGGCTCAGGTCTCGGCACGCTCACTTTCATTCCTTGATATGTACCAGAGAGAATGGAAACTCACAGCACTCAAATCCACGGTCGTTAGCTTCCCGTATAGTAGTAGCGAAGCAGCACTCCGTGGTGACGCCGGATACGATGAGGTGCGTAATTGCTCGAGCTTTTAATTGATGCAGGATGGTGGTGTTCCAAAACGAGCCCTTGCCGGGTTTATCAATCACGACCTCTCCAGGAAGAGGCTTCAGCTCATCAACAATATCATGGCCATATTCGCCTCGCGTGAGCAGTCGGCCGAGTTCTCCCTTGTCGCCAATGACAAGCTTGTGTTGAGTATTGTTGGGCGCAGCAGCTTGTCTAACAAGTTTGGAAGACGGGCAGTCAGACAGGTCTGGGACATGGCCTTCCCGAGTGTGTACAATTGTAATGCCCGCGCCTCTACATGCTTCAATTAGCTTCTTCGTAGGGGCAATTGACGCCTGCACTGCCTGCAGGTTGCCCCCTTGAATTTCTCCAAAGCCCTTGGGAAGCAGAAAATCCCTCTGCATATCAATCACAAGGAGAGCTGTGTGTCTGAGGGGGAAAGAGAACACATATGGTTTAGCGTCTATCGACAATATCGAGGGTTTGTCCTTAGTGACAGACATGTTGATTGTCGACAGCTATGCTGCGAGAAATTGAAAGATATAACGGGTCAATTGAGTTGCAAAACAGAATGAGGTGGAAAAGTCAAGACTAGTGATTTCAACTAGAAATTTCCTCATGGTTGCCCAAGACATTGACAATTATCTGATAAAGCTTTAGCCATGGCTAAGCCCTAGCCCGCAGGCCTTCTGCAGAACGGCCCGCCGGCGGGCGGCGGGCAACACTCTTTATCTACGCCGACCCTGCCCGCGTTCTCACGCTAACACGAATTCGTCTTTGGCGTTGTTTCACGTGGAAGCAACCTCCAGCTTTCTCCGCATCATCCAGCCTACAGTAAACTTCTAGCGTCCACACCTTCCCCACGACAAATTTGCCCAGTCGCTTAATGTACGGGGCTATTCGATGCAGCTACTCTACGGCTTTGCATATCGTGTGCGATACATCCCGGCGCTATGGCTCGCCGGAGGCTCGTATCTTTGGACATGGGAGATATCTAGGGCATTCCATGTAGCCAGCGTGAGAAGATAGACAGCGACCCTTGCTTGGAGTATATGTATCTACAGGGAACCCAAACAGACCGAGTTCATCCAAGTCCCGTTACTATTTTATTGTTATACGTGTCTAAATTGGTTACCTGGTCTTTGAACGAGCCTTTTGCTTAGCTACGGCATGTCTGTTCTCAAGGCGAAACTTCGTCCTCATTTCCGCTTGACGGTCCCATATGAGAGCGGGAAATACGGCTCTCGATGGTCCAACAAGGGTACGAACCTATAACATTTACGCCCAGCTCCCTCTTGAACAAAACTAACAATCTTCAAGATCTTGACCCTGTTCCTCCTGAACAGAGAACATGGGGTGGTATTGATTACTGGGCGTATTGGTGCTCTGATATGCTTGCACCTCCTCTTGCCGCCACGGTCAGCAGTGTCATGAGTCTCGGCTTCACTGCTAGAGAGACAATTCCTATAGTCTTCTTCGGCTTCGCTATTTGCAGTGTTGTCATTACCTTGACCGGTAAAATGGGTAAGTCTGATCTCGATATATTTATTCCTAACAATGCTTACCAACCGGACAATATATATCTGACTCAATTTCAGGCGCAACATACAATGTGCCATTTCCTGTGATTATTCGCAGCATATTTGGGATGTGGGGATCGTTCCCTGCCATCTGTATCAGAGGTACTTCTGTTCAATCCCTTCCCGACAATGCTCACTCACAGATTCTAGCATTTGTTGCTCTTATGTGGACTGCAATTCTTACTGTTCAAGCCGGCAATTTTCTCCAGCGTTGCCTCGAAGCAATTTGGCCAAGCTTCATTAACTTCCCGAATCATCTTCCCGATAATGCTGGCATTGACTGTAGGTTTTGAGTTTGTCATGGCTCTTCTTGACTAATCTCTCACAGCCGCTGGTTTGCTTTGTGTGTTTCTCTATTGGTTCGCGCAAACTGCACTTGCTTTAATGCCTATTTCAAAGCTGAGGATTCTGTTTTGGGTCAAGGGTGTTATTGTCCCTCCTACTTTTTTCGCCCTATTTCTATGGGCAGTTATCATAACTAAGGGGTAAGCTTACTTCTTCACTTTAGTCTGCATAGACGTTCTAATACTAATTTGTTTCGTCAA